CACTTGGGAAGTACAGCATGTTCACAGATGTCTGAGAAAGTAGGAAAATTATCTTCAGTGGGCCACTGGCAACTAAAATGACTGGGGGGCATCTAGAACTGCGAAAATAAACCCTTAGTAACGTGTCAGATTCTTCTTATGGAAAACAATGCATCACATTTGTTTTGGGGTATTAAGCCTATGCTGCTCACAAGTACATCCGAATCTTGGGAAAGGTGAAAAAGGCAGTTTGGGCTATATAACTCAGTCTAAATGAAAACAGCAGGGGCTAACACCAAATAAATAACAATGTCTCAAGACTGGGTATGTGAGGTCGAGGGGAGACAGAGGGTTTTCGAGCCCACATAAAATTATGTGCTTAGTATCCATTCTCATGATTCTTGTCCATATGGAAACTGGATTTTTCCTGATGAGTGCTAATGTTCATCTGTGAAAACTTAGTGCCAAAGAGAAAAAGGGTTCGCTGTGCTACTGCATGTTTTAATTTTCAGGAACAAGGTACTCTAAATGCTACTGAAACCAGAGAATGAAGAGACAGATAAGGCACCGGGAATGAATAAAACAATTGCGCCAACCTTATATAACTTTGACTAAGAAAGAAACGGGAGTTCAAAATTATCAGTGTATAGAAGTCAAATTCTTTTAAAGATCTGGGAAAACAAAGATTCCTAAAATTAAGCACTTTTAGAATGATCAAATCTCTTAACTCATTGAACTTTTTAAAGCCTGTCACATGTACTATCTGTTATTCTCCTTTCAAAAATTCATTTCCATGGTATGCTATTTCTAAACTATTATAAAAATTTACCTAGAAATAAAACACTGTTTTCTACCTTTTTATGCTTAATCTGACCCATTTACATCATAAAGCAGAAAGTGTGCATGCTTCTTCTGTTATGACATATCTTAATCACAGTGGCTGTCAGTGAAGGGCACTGCAACCAGGGTGAAATCAGATCCCCAGATGGCTCTTGCATTATGTGATTTGAGGGAGGTTCCGAAACTGTCTCCCACACTGGCCTGCTATGATGCCAACCTTTCCACCCACCTGAACAGAAATCACAGCCTTACTAAGCCCTCTTTGATTTATGTGATAAATGTGTTATCTACTATTAGAATGAACAGATGTTATGTGGGTTGAGAGTCACCGTTACAATTACTACTGCCTTGGTGAAATTAATAAACATTATAACATTCACTGCCCATCTCACTAAGAGATGCAAATCTTTCTCTCATATACTTGTCTCTCTCTATCTCTATCTCTCTCTGTGTGTCTCTTTGTGTCTGTCTCTGTCTCTGTCTCTCTCTCTCTCTCTCTCTCTGATCTGTAGACTAAATGATAAAAGAAAAAAGTATGATGTAGAGGGAAAATCATAGACTGTTGGACCAGGGTGATATTTTAAAGTTTTGCTCCATTGCCATGGAGATAAACAGACCCAGATTCAGAAGGGTTAGGTGGCCTGCCCACCACTGATGACAGTGTTTGAATTAGAGGCCAAGTGGAATATTCTCTGTATCTGAGCCTGTTATGAACCACATTTAACCAAGTCATATATAGTAAACACAAACTGGCTTTGCAAAGTTGACTCCGAGTGGGGCACTTGAAAGATTAAGTAGGCCAGAATAAGAAGCAGCAAACAAGATAAATTCAATAGCCTTCAAAGAAAATGAAATGCCATGCAGAGGAATTCTGAACTTGAGAGCATTATCAAGACAGAAGCAAGCAGAACATAGTCACATAGTCAATATTTGTCTTTAAATGATGATGCTTTAAGCCTAGTATCCATATTTTACATGAGTTATTCAAATATTTTAACTTTATCATTCAATGTTTTAACATAACTAAGTTCCCACAGTGAGCTCCAAATTTTAAAATATTTTCTTCATTTAAATTTCGAATTGTTAATCAGTCACCCCATTTTGCCAATAAAAAGATCAGCATTAAGTCATAGTGTTGATAATTATGTTGATAATTAGTCATTATGTTGATAGTTAAATACAATGAAAATACTAATTGAAATTAATAAATGAATAAAAATTCATATAAAATTCCTAAAATATTTTGAGTGATCTAATTTCTACTTCTAAGGCTCAAGGGAGATCAACTTCACAGATATGGAACTTCAAAATGATGGGACTCATTCGACATTTTTCAACCTTATTAACATTATTTTTATAATGAGTTATAGAAGAAAGATAAAATTTTTGACAGCATATAAGCACATTTCAATGCTAATTTATTTTAATTTCTCTTTTTTAAGTGACTTTTTAAAATGTCTTTTTGCAACAGGGTCTGCATGCAGCCCCAGCTGGCCTGGAACTCACTACGTAGACCAGGTTGGCCTGGATCTTAAAGATATCCACCAGCCTCTGCATTCTGAGTACTGTGACTGAAAGGTGTGTGCCACCACATCTGGCCTTTTAGTGACTTTTTGGCACAGCATCTGTGCTGTTAGTTATCCTATTTCTAGTTTGTTATATGGCATTGGAAGGTTATACGAAGGTTGTCACACTTCAAATTATCTCCTAAACTTCGCAATGAAAGTTAATCCAAATGGTTAGTGAAGCATGAATAGTTTCATACAACTTAGAACTGAAAAAAAAACTCTGAGGTAATAATAATTATGAACTAGGACAGCATACGAAATAGTATTTTTATGGAAAATACAAATCAAAAAAGAATATAAATCCTGATTAAAACGTAACCAAGCAAGCAAGCAAACAAACAAACAAAAAAAAACCCTGATTACCTGGATTTCAATTAAATATGAAAAATAAATTCTTGACAGGTTTCAGTTACAATTTTATTTATGTCAGAATGGTCCATTAATATTAAAGATGAAATTACCAAAGTCCAGGTGATACTATCACACTTTGCAACTAGATGAAGATGGTCAACTTGGATCTAAACAGAACTGTTACTCAAATACCAACGGGTAAGTCTGGAAATGCTCAAAGTATATCCTGTCTCCTTCTGTCATTACTTATATAGATGAGGGCTAAGATGAATCACAGCCAATATATGACAAATCACTTATATAAACTCTGCATGTCAACTGTCTGTCACGCACAAAGTCAGGGAAAAATCAGTTCTATTACTATGGTTCCTTCTCTTGACAGGACTTAATACATGGTTATAAAACAGAACTGGAACCTTCTTTAAATTCTTCAGTAAACTTTCTGTTCTCTTTTCATGCTCATCTGTTGTTATCCATGACATGAATATTTCCTGAAAATTAACCTATATGTGTTTTCCATATATAATTATGTTTTAACTACTAGGCATCATTTCCTGATAATTTTTAAAATGCTGAATATCTTTAAATCCACAAAGCAGAAAAATAACATTAAGTTGTATATATAATGCCAGCAATATAAAAAATCACTGACATGTAAAAAAGTAAATACTTGATTGTTCATATTCTTGCTTACAGTGGAAAAGCACTTTTGTAAACATAATCAAAATTATTATTAATGAAAGATAGCCTGAACATAATAAAAATCCCGTTAATGACTCTTGTCTTACTTGGAAGGAATACATATATGTGAATATATAAAAGGAACTTTTAATTTAAAAATTTTGTACAAAGACAAATATACTTGACCTAAATATATATTCAGAAGCATCAGAATTCATACAAAAATTTTACACTTGTTTTAAAAAACTACTGAAAAAATATTTTTTAAAAAATGTCACGTCAGACTCCCATCCACATAAGCACACACCACCATACACACAGATAAGCATGCCTTATAGCCATGAGGCAAAACGCCATTTAAAATCTGGGTGATTGATCAAGAAGGATATCAATCAACAGGCCCTGATATCATATCTGATAATTACATAGACAGATAATTATTTAGTATGAGTTACTTTAGCATACTTCTCTTGGGGTCATTGATGATATATGATTATTGGATTTTAATTTTCATGGGTAAACCTCTGAAGAAAATGATTTTTTCTCTTTGCATTAATATTCTCCTTTTGTATATCATCACTGAAGAAACTGGTATAAAGTAACAAAAAGATCTTATTTCATTAGGGTTTTGAGGTAGTGAAAGGTATAAATCTAATTTGACTTTTCACTACAGATAAAATGTATGCAATTCCCATGCCTTCTTTGATATATAACCATATCTTTTTTTTACATTTGAAATAATAATGAAGTGAGGAAGATCTTTGCTATTCCATTATTTGACATAAATATATTCCTTTAACATTTACAGTCTACTCAAATTCCAGAAAATAAATAACTGAATTATCTTTGAGAACATAAACAAAAATGAAAATATTTACAAGTATTATTTGTAATATAATTTTATGACATACAAAAATTTATATAAAGCCAATTATTGTTACAATTATGCGAATAGCCTAACAACAGGGTAGAGTGGGAAGAATTATAGTTTGCTTTCTTTCCTTTCTCTTGCAGAAATCAAGACAAACCTTGTACTTAAAGGAGAGAGGAAGTCTAATAATGTTTACTGCATGCCATGGAGAGCAAGGCAGCGATTCTCATTTGATCCATTTTGCCTGGCATTTGAAAGAAACAGTTTGAAAATGCTTTGCTAAATATCTAGGAAAGGAAAACCTCAAGCAAAGTATGTTTGTAATCATTTCCTTTTACTAAGACTGGATAAAGGCAATTGAAGAAATAGTTGCATGACAAAAATGAATAGAAGAAAACAAGACAGTTCCTAATGGATTTCATTTAGAAAGTGCACATTAATTTAGCATTTTTCATAGGAGGTACTGCTCTGATTTATTTGTAAATCCACTTATTTCTGATAGGTTATTTTTAAATGAGGGTGCAATTTTGTGAATTTTATCTACAGATTTATGTTCCTTTATTTGTCATTTCTGTATTTTAGCAAGTATTTAATATTTTAATATACTTTTGGTGTCAGCTAGTTTATTTTGATTTTAGACTAACCTTCACAAGCCTATTTATTTGGCTCACTAGCGTGATTATGTGTGTGGATGTTGTGTTTGCCCCTACCATTTTCCATATGCTCTGCCTCACCAACACTGCCATCCGGCGTGGTCCTTTCATAGTTGTCCTCTGGGAGTGGAAGGGCACCCAGTCTTGGCCCTGATGAACTCTTACTGCTTGGTGTTTCTGACTCCTCCAGCCCGCTGTCATAGCAACTCTGCAGTGACCCCTGATGTGGGTCCTGAGGCTGACTCACAACAGAAAACGTCACTCTACGAAATGGCTGTAAAAGAAAAGATTCTGAATGTCACTAAGATATAAGATTATAAATTATCTTATTTTTAAATATACATAAATTTTATACATAAAGGACTACTAAAACTAATTCAATACAAAATGATCAAATAGGTTTTAATAAATCTGAGTGAATAGATATCATCTAAGACAAAGCCTAAAGTTTACATTTTATTGTGGAAAACAGAAAATTCCTTTTCAGAGACAGAGGTGAGAAAACATCATTTTTGCCCAAACATGCATTTAAATCAGATATACTTGCTCTAATAGTCAAGCTTTTTCTATTCAGTAGTCTTCATGCTTTTCATAAATAAATTTTATTAAAAATAAAAAACATCCAGTGATTTGGGGAATTAATAAGTTCCGAACCAATCGATCATGAAAAACGTCATTTAAAATGCTTCATCCCAATGACATAATGCATTAAAATCAGCCCATATTGTATTGTGCTTTAAAACTGAATGTGCTGGTACTCGGAGATTAAAACTGCAACTAAGTGAAAATTCAAGTATGGTGCTAGTAAATCAGAAAGTATTTATTATTTCATTCATATAAAACATTATTTATTTGAAACTGTGAAGATCACAGAAAATGACATGTAAAAATTTCTTCAACCTATGAATGAAAAATAAATTTAAATATTCAACTGTATGTGTTTACCATGACTACAGTCCATTCAAACACAGTCACATCAAGTATAGCTTCTAATTTTTAATCTTAGAAGTCCTACTTACTAAACTATACAGGTAGAACCAACAAATAACTATGGTAGTAACAATGGCTGAGCAGACGATCCACTGTGCAAGGAATGTGAAGATTTCCCTAATTACTTAACAAAATGAAAAAAAATCATTAAGAAATCAAACTAACGCAGTACAGAAACTATTCATATTGACAGTACTACATCAAAAAGTATAAATTTAGAAAAATACAAAAAATGATCTTCATAATATGAGTAAATTCTAAAATATGACTTAAAATTCTTGTATACACTAAGCCCTTATGAACTTGAAGGTGGCCTGAGTGAACATAGTTACAAATATAAGTATCACTGATCCTTTGATGATTGTTGCCAAAATTTAGTATAAAATTTAAGCATCTTTTCTGAATGTTTATAGCCTGAGAGTTCATGGTATAAATCACTAATCATGACTATGACCAACAGAACTGTAGAATGCCAAGGATTATGTCCATGGTAAGTGAGTAAAGAAAAGGTTAATTGTGACAGTCTCCCTAGTTTATAGCTCGACTTTGCTAAAGACAAATACATGCTTCCACTATTTGCATGTTACACTGTTAAAAAGAAAAGACTAGCTGAAAACACTGTTCATTGCTGATATTTCTGCCAGTATCATGAACTTGTTAGGAGCATAACGTCTACAAAATCTTTTTTTGTTTTATTTTAGTTAAAAATCAAGTTCATAAATGATTTGATCTGAATGAAAAGGGAAAACAATTAAATCACATTCTCTTCCTCATGATGTCACATTGAATTAATAACACAATGTTGAAAAGCAGTCACACTATATTTCATTACAGATAATGTATACAACATGGGCCAAACTCATTGACAAAAATCTCTGGATATATTTCCTTTATTTCACCAATAATTTTCACATTTCTTTAAATTAATATGACCAGTATATTTTAACTTATTTCTAAACAGAATGAAATATATTTTTATGTATTACTTTATGTTGTGTGTGTGTGTCTGTGTGTGTGATATGTGTATCCATGTGTGTATGTCCGTGTGTGTGTGTGTGTGTGTGTGTGTGTGTGTATTCTTTTTATATTTTCTACCATTCACCATTACCAGCTGGCCACAAAGTGCCTCAAATTGTCTGAGGAAATTTGGCCTCCCTTTGGAAATGATACCACTGCAGTTCTTAAAACAATACTGTTTTGCACACAAAAGATACTAAGCAAACACAATAGAACAGTGAAATGTTAATGACAATGAGAAGTTAAGGCAAGAATTCCAAGGGCCTTGTAGACACATTATTTCAAAACAGCAATAGGCTAAAAATATTTATCTATACAAAAAAGAAAGGAAAGTTAAATGTTATTCTTAATTCTACTTTAATGATTTTCAAATCTTTTAGGATCAGTTTTTGCTAACAAAAGAAAAAAGTTCAGAATGAACACAGAAACACATAAGCTCTGTTAATACAGAAAATGAAAGTAGGAAATTATGAGAAATAGGTTTCATTTTGATATTAAAATAAAAAAATAGAATAACATTTGGTAAGGACAGGAATCTCAGAATATGTGCTTACATACTTGTTCCACCAAAGCACTGCTACAGTAACAGGAAGAAAGTCTATAACCTATATCTTAATAAAATTATGCAAAAATTAAAATAATGATTATGGATTGTACCATGCTGCCAAGAACTTATGCATTATTTTTTTATTTCTACCCCATTTAGATTATGAATACTTGGATTTCCATAAATTAATTTAGAAGTAAAAACATTAAAATTTTAAAATACTAAAAACCATTTATGGCTCATCAATGTTTCTTTTTGTATAAAAAGCTGTTTCTAATCATGTAGTTATTAATAATTTTTAAAAAAGTTGTTTCATTTAGTATAGTTTCTGAATGAATGCAAATATTATTCACAATAAAAATACAAAATGAATAGTATTAAAATGAAAAAGAACATGCCCTAACAATTATTATGATTCACTCTTAAAATATGTCATCAGAATTCTATAATAAAATTCAATATCAACATTATATCACCATACATTAAACTTTAATCATTTTAGATAGGAAAATCATTGAGGCAATTCATTTAAGTTGATAAGGCAAAAAAATCCTAAATTTTGAAAAAATAAAATATTGGTGCAAAAGTTGAAGTTTCCTTCTAGTGGTAATTCACACATATTCAGTTAGATGGATAGATGAAAATAGGGATTGAGGGAGGGGGGAGGGAGATATGGTTTAGAGAGCAGAGGAGAGATGGAGGGAGTGGAGGAAGGGGAGAGAGAGGAGAGAGAGAGAAAAAGAGAGAGAGAGAATTCTATGCAATCCAGGACAGGTTGGATCTATTGTAAAGAGGTTTCAAAGCAAAGATTATGATACAGACTTTATATCATCTATGAATTCCAAAAAGATGGATAAAGTCAAATGTAGAATAGTATGTTGGCTTCTTGACAAAATTCACATTGTGTATAACTGTTTTCTCTGCTGATACTAGGAAGTAGCTTTTAATGAGTGATAGATGATTCTTGAGTTTGCATAAAACTTAGAATTACCTAGAGAACTCATTGTTTATGAGTTCTCAATCATTTCATTGTTTACAAAATGTCAATTTCTACCAATATAACCAAATGAATAAGCATTAAAGATATAAACTGGATATTAGTTGATGAAGAAACACAAAGAGGAAGGGAAACTATAGTCAGGAAATAAGATCCTGTGAAGAGATCTAAGCAAACTTCTCCAGAAACCAAGTCCCACTCAGTGTTGTCAATTTCCAGACTCAGAGTCATGCATGCTTCATTTCAAGGCTCTATGTTCTAGATTTGAAAGCATTCAGTGATCTGAAGTGTATGAGCTCCATATTTTTTCTGTCTTGAGTGAAAAATGACTTTGGGCCTCTAAATGCAACATTTTCTATATAAAAGAAAGGAAAGCAAATGAGTTTGAGGAAGATTATCATCTTGCAATCTTCTGCTAGTTTGAACAGTCTAAAAATGGTGGTGTATGTCTGAGAACTGCAAATAAGGAGTGGAAACTAAAGACCTGATTTAGGTCAGTGATGATTGAATTAATGAGTAAGAGAGAAGAAATGAAATGACAACCAGTTAGAGGAAGAAATATAAAGGAAGGTGGGTGATTGTGCTAGGACGGGTAGAACTCCGGAGAAACATTTATACTGAGGTAAGGCTTGGAAAAGGGAACAACAGTGACAATGGGCAGTCAGACTGCTGCTGCGGATTGGATGTGGTCATTATCTCATCATACTTCCTAAAGTCATTACACTTGTATTAAGTACCCGTTATCTTCCTGCCTTCACAAATTGTGTGCATTGAAGAAAGTCAAAGGCTTTTATGTCTATAAAAACAAAGAAAATGTAATGAAGTTTCTTATCAAGCAGGCATGGGAAGGAGAGAGAGAGAGAGAGAGAGAGATAGAGAGAGAGAGAGAGAGAGAGAGAGAGAGAGGGTTGAGAAAGAGATGTGGTGAAACGCATCTGGAAATTCAAGCAGGCAGGAGGACTACAGATTTTTGAATTGAAATCTCTGAAATAATTTTGATTGTTAAGATATATTTGAGTTCTTTGAGGATTGAGGCCATCCTGGTCCACATAATAACTTCCTGGCAGGCTGGGAGTAGGGAGACCCTATCGAAAAACAAACAAAATAAAACACCATCAACAATAAAACAACAAAAAAGACTTATTTGAGTACCAATTAAAAATTCCTTATTTGGGACTAAGAGGAATGATTTTTAAAAAGGAACTGAGTAGAAAGTCAGGTTATTCTTGAAACTCCTAAGGTAAGGCTTAATCCCAGAAATTTCCAGAAATTATCACCAGAAGTTTCCATATGACCAAAATAACATGGAAATTATGAATGCTGAGTACCATGTATGCATTGGATTCATTCTTTTGAAGGTCATTGTGGTCTAAACCATGGAGAAAAAAGAGATAAAAGCATAGGAGAAAGGAGAGAAAGAAAGCATCAGCTAGCACTTTCTAAATACCAAAAAATAAGAAGAAAAGAAAAGAAACAGGATAGACATTGAAAGGAAAAAACTTGTGTAGAGATTCATTAATTGATTCTTGATGTGCTTCTTCATAGGCATTAAAGAGTGCTCACCTTAAGGTAAATTTTTTTAAATGTCACCAAAAAGTCAGTGCTAAATCAATGGAGTTACAAGGAGAGTGAAAGAGATCAAGGATAGGTACTAAATAGAATGGAAAATTACATACAAAAGAACCACAAAAGCAAAAGAAACAGTAAAAGATATGAAGAAATT